TTTGTAGAGCTGTTGGTTGAGGAAACGGGGTGGCATTCGTAAAGTGAGGAAAGGTCCAGAGATTTATTAGTTTTTTTAGTAAGCAATAAATGTACTTGAGAAGTAACGATATTAAAACAAAATGTTTGTTTTCTCCTGCCAGGTCCAAGCTTTGAAAAGGTAAATATTGATGAGTAAATATAAAAGGAAATGAGTTGCCCATTGTTTCAACACCCATGCACAGAGTGTCCAGTATAAAATGGAGTTTATCGAAGTTGATTTTGCACTAAAGGAATCGAGTATTTGCCACAAGCACTGATTTTCTAATCTTTGCAACCCAACGCCGTCTAAACTTAGATATTTGAAACTATGAATTATGTAAAATCAAATATATAATTTAAGTTTGGAAATCAAATTAGAAAATTAAAATGTTTGGAAAAGACTTGAAATTACTTTGTCAAAAAACTCAGAAATATTTGCCAAAAAAGGCTTAAGAACGAAAGTAACATCTGTTACAATAAATTTGGCCCTTATTTTTTTGTGAAACCTCACATGGCCCATAGGGGTGGTTTATGAGTTTGTGGCAAAGACAAAATTTCTTTTCAATTTTTTGATAAAATATCAACTGTCTCAAAAACATATTTGACATTTCAACATTTTTAACATTGTAATTTTAATTGTTCACCCTGTTGAGTGACCAAGCATAATAAAGCGCCAATATTAATATATACTTGTTACTCAGCCCATACCAGGGGTTTTATAAACAATCATGTAGGAGGGGTAAATATTAAAGTTTTCGTTTTTCTTTTGGCAGAATTATGACGATAAAATGTTTAAAGTGTTTTTAAAGTTTTCACGTTTATCAATTTTTTTATTTATCTGTTCTTAATTAATGACTAAATCAAAGTTTTTTTACAAATATATCTAGTTTTTCAATTCTAAAAAAATCTGATTATTTTTTTTAATATTTACTGTTAGAAAATGCAAATTCTGGCGTTTGCAATAATGAATGCAAAATAGGCGGATCAAAGTAGCTAGGAGGGAAGGTAGAAGGGGGGGGGCGGTCTAAATATGGATCAAATATTTATATTTAAATATATATATATATGTATTGTAATATAATATCCATTAATATGCTTTCCAAATTACATTTAATCATCTATTTATAGCTCTGCAGTGCCATGAGACAAAGGCAACTTATTTATAGCTTCATACTCAAATATTAATATCTTTATACATATATATATGTATATGGAAATACCGTTTTTGTATGAGTGTGCGCTGTGCACTGACCATCCAGTAATATAAAAAGAATAAAAAATGTGAAAAGTTTTAAATCTAAATTCTAAACGCGTATTTAAAGATTTATTAAAGAAGTGCGGAGATATCGAAATTTAATCTGAGATTTGAGATTCATCTTAAACTCATACGGTCACACTTGACAGTTCAGACAGTAAGGATGCAATAAATAAAGAAAGGTCGTAATAATAGAATTTAAAAAAAAATTTCTTCTAAATTTTTTATGGTTCTTCTTTCTTTTTCTTAGTATTACTTTTAAAAAATTTGCCTTGAATCTTGCTTTTTTGTGAATTTTTTAAACTTTACAAATAGGGCCTTTTTGGTTAGCCATCTATAGCGTTTTGTATTCAATTGATTACAGAACCTTGCGTGGCCCAGGGAAGGAATTATTTGCCGGACGAAATTGCGAAAAAAATCCACTTAAGAAAACGAAAAATCTGCTAAATTTTCGATTCGGTTCTTAGATGTATGTAAATAAAATTGTCTTGTACATATCATTAAAACAGGGCTAAGATTTTCGAAAGAATAATTAAATGTCTTGGCATATTTTCTGAGTTTTTAGCTGATTTTATTGCCAACCTTTTATGAGATTTGTTTAGTAGATGCCTTTTACTCATAAAATCTAACATCTGAAACTTTTAAAAAGTAAAAACTGAAAGATGAAAAGGAAATTTGTTTTAATGATCAATTATTTTTTCTGTAAAATTTTAGATTTAAACTTTAAAGTAAATTCTCCTTAAATTATTTCTTAATGATTCTTTTCATCATTCATTTCCTACAAGCCAGCATTTTTTAGTTTGAAGGGATTGTAAGGTTAAATTCAAGTGACCCTATACATTCTTAGGGTAAACTAAAGATCATGAGGCAGAAATTGAAGAATTTAAACTGCGGCTTAAATTTAAGTCGAGGCTCAAATATGGTTGGTTCCACTTAAAATTGTATTCAATGTTTCAAGTTTTAGGCTGGCGCTCAAATAAAACCGGTTTTGGGCGGATTTGAGACGCGGCTCAAGTTCATTAAATTCGGACTCTGGTTTAAAGTTTAGTGAGTGTTTACTTTAGAACCTATTTGAAAATGTAGATTTTTCATATTTATTCCTTAACACTTTTTTGTTTGACTATATATATTATATATTTAAGTATATGAGGTATCTTACGCTATTTTTGATGGATTGTGATTGAGAGATCAAAACACGACTAAAACTATTCCACTAAGCAGTTATGCTTTTTTATTATTTGCTATACTACGTTAAATTTAAATTAGTTTGACGTGATGTAGGATATGTTGGTGAATAATTTGTCATCAAATTGCTAGCATTCAGCAAACTATATATTACTGATTATTATTAGATATCATTAATAAACAGGTGTTTTTTGTTTGAATGAGAAAATAAAAAATAATTAACAATACAATATGATATTCATTTCCTTTTTATTAAAAGTATTTATTTATGTAGATACATGGTTGAACTTGAAGAGTGTTTGATTTATCGTTTGTTTGTCAATACATGTCAAATTAAGCACTTTGTATTAATGAGGGTAATATTATATATATATATATATATATATATACTTATTTTCTATTTGAACTGAATTACGCTTTCGTCTAAATATATCCATCTTTGAACTTAATTACCAACAAAAAAATATAAAAGTAAAAAGGGAAAAAGAGAAAAAGTTATAAAATTTTTATTTTTATTTTTAGCCCTTGACACGAGTAGTGACCAGGTGAAAAAACAGGTTTTTGAACTCCTCTCCGCGCTCTGCGTGTACAATGCCGAGGGGTACAACAGGGCTCTACAGTCACTAGATCATTATAAAGTAAGTACTGCAAATAGCGCTCAGTGTATATATAGAAGGGGGGAGATGGTTTTTAAAAAACGAATGAAAAAAATAACGATTTAAAATCGTTAACGATGGTTCACATTTGTAGAGCTGTTGGTTAACGAACGATTTCTAAATCGTTTGTTGGAACGAACTTGAAAAACAATTGTGTTATTTTACTGAACGAATGATTTTTTTTCAAACGAACTTGAAAAAACAATAGTTTTCTTACTGAACAAACGATTTTTTAACGTTAGAAGGGAAATGAACAATTATTCAGAAAACGAACGAATTAATTATTTCTAAACGACTGAAACTGGATTGTTAATGAACGAATTGAAAAAAAGTCGAACACGCTCATCTCTACGGGTAATATCACCATAAATTACATTAAATAATTTTTAAAAATCTAAACGTAGTTTATCTGTCCATTCTTTTCTGAACTACCTCTTACTTTTCAGAAATATTTCATATTTTTTTTTGTTTTTCAAATATTTATCTCTCTCATTCTTAAATCTATTTTCAATGCTAAAACGTTGTTCATACATATTTTAAAGTTTATTGATTTTTTTTGTTTAGGTTTTTAAATCAAAACGCTATCGGTTCAGTTTGGTTGTAGAAGAACTTAATTCTGCCAAAACCAATGAGTACAGGTTGGAAATAAACCCATTCTATGCCGAAATCTCTCAAAAAACACTGTGAACAGTTTCTTTATGACAGAAGTTTAATTTTCATTGTTTTTTTAAACACTGCAGCTGAAGGAACTTGATAAAGTTGTGTTTAATAAACAAATGTTTGCATTTGTCCATAAAACGGTCAACAAACATTCAAAGATACATTTTTCAAGTTCTTTTAATAATAACCACCTTCAGTAAATAAATCTTTATTTACTTCCATCCGGCCTCCTTCCATGCTCCTTCCATCCTTCTTCCATCCTTTTTCCATACTCCTTCCACCCGGCCCTCTTGTATTTATTTTGTGTTTAGAACTGTGTTGTTTGCGTTTATAAACTGTCTGGTGATATCTACCCCAGAACTGAAGGAACGGAACAGAATTAGAAATGAATTTATAGGTAAGAACTAAATTAATAAGTAAGAACTAAAATGATAAGTAAGAAATTAATTGATAGGAAAGAAATTAATTAATAGGTAAGAAATCAATTAATAGGAAAGAAACGAATTAATAGGTAAGAACTGAATTTATATGTAAGAAATGAATTAATAGAAAAAGAAATTAATTTATAGGTAAGAAATGAATTTATTGGTAAGAAATGAATTTATAGGTAAGAAATGAATTTATTGGTAAGAAATGAATTTATAGGTAAGAAATGAATAAATAGGTAAGCAATTAATATATCGGTAAGAAATGCATATATAGGTAAGAAATGAATATATAAGTAAGAAATAAATATATACGTAAGAAATGAATATATAGGTAAGAAATGAATATATAGGTAAGAAATGAATATATAGGTAAGTAATGAATATATAGGTAAGAAATAAATATAAAGGTAAGAAATGAATTAATAGTTAAGAAATGAAGTAATAGGTAAGAAATGAATTTATAGTTAAGAAATCAATCTATAGGTAAGAAATGAATGTATAGGTAAGAAATGAATTTATAAGTAAAAAATGAATATATAGGTAAGAAATGAATATATAGGTAAGACATGAATATAAAAGTAAGAAATGAATTTATAGGTAAGAAATGAATTAATAGGTAAGAAATTAATGTATAGGTAAGAATTATGAATGTATAGGTAAGAAATGAATGTATAGGTAAGAAATGAATATATAGGTAAGAAATGAATTCATAGGTTAAGAAATGAATATATAAGTAAGAGATGAATTTATAGGTAACAAATGAATTTATATGTAAGAAATGAATATATAGGTAAGAAATGAATTTATAGGTTAAGAAATTAATATATAGGTAAGAAATGAAAATATATAGGTACGAAATGAATATATAGTTAAGAAATGAATATATAGGTCAGAAATGAATATTTAGGTATGAAATGAATATATAAGTAAGAAATGAATATATTTGTAAGAAATAAATATATAGGTAAGAAATGAATATATAGGTAAGAAATGCATATATAGGTAAGAAATGAATATATAGGTAAGAAATGAATATATAGGTAAGAAATGAATATATAGGTAAGAAAGGAAT